CATTTCCCTTCACGAAGGAAATACTTCTCTTTGGGCAATAGCCTTTGGTGCCTGACATTCACAATGCCCCTTCCACTTCAAGAAATGCCTTCTGCCCTGACCGGTTTGGCTCAGTGGATAGAGCGTCAGCCTGTGGACTGAAGAGGTCCCAGGTTCGATTCCAGTCAAGGGCATGTACCTTGGTTGCGGGCACATCCCCAGTAGGGGGTGTGCAGGAGGCAGCTGATTGATGTTTCTCTCTCATCGATGTTTCTACCTCTCTATCCCTCTCCCTTCCTCTCTGTAAAAAATCAATAAAATATATTTAAAAAAAAAGAAAGAAAGAAATGCCTTCTGTTTGACTACCCCAAGACCTACCCTTTCTCCTTGGCTAGGGCAAGTGTCACCCCCTCCAGAGAGCCCATTCTGGCCACTTCAGACCACAGAGATCGTTCTCCTCTGAGACCTCACCTACGGCAGTGTCACTATCTCCTGTAACCCAGTGACAGTTCTGTTCCCTCTGTGGGTAAGACATCTCCTAGACTGACCATGGGGTTCTTGGGGATAGGTCTGCACCCCACTATTCTGTCCGATTCCAAGCACAGGGCTAGGCACACAGCAGAGCTCAAAAAAGTGGAATGCAAGCCCCAGAGATTCGGGCAGCGGTTCTGACAATGCAGAGGAAAACTTCCAGAATGAGAGAAGCAGAGAGATTAACTGTATAGGGAGAATGAGAATCAGCAACAGAGGTGGGAGTAGGGGCAGGGTAAAGGGGGAGATTTGCACCCAGGGACTGAAAAGCTCTCTGACACTAAATTCTCATCATTGCATCCCACACTATCCTAGGTCACCAAGTTCTCATTAGAACTGGGATCTCTAAGAAAATTCCGGTTTCCTGTGGTGGGTGGGGTGGCGGGAAAGGACAGCATGCCAATGGCAGTGTTGTCAGAGTACAGTCTGTACTCTCTCTACCCCTCCTTTCCTCTACCCAAGCCATATGGATTCAGGAAGGGCCTTTTCCTTAGGACTTCCACCTCCAAGTCATCCCAATGGGCCTCTCGAGCCCTTGCCCTGGGGAAGCCAGGTGATGACATGATGCCCTACTTGACCCCAGCATGCGTGGCACCTGCTCATTACCCCAGAGCCCTCTCAGTTCCTGCCCTGTCAGTGAGAAGCTCTAAGACTTCCCTGCCACCCAGCCAGTCTGGCTCTAGACCATGGCTTCAAGCTGACTCATGGGGCAGGACTTCGGGGGAAGGGTAGGCCAAAGCTCCTCTCAGTGTAGGGGGTGGGCAGCAGCTGGCTTCAATCAGCTGTGCCAGGCTTTGGCTGGCCAAGACTACAGCTCCCAACATGCCAAGGGAGCATGGCCAGCCAAAACAACAAGTACCAGAATACCATGGGGTCTGTCCCCTCAGACACCTGCTTAGCCTGGGAGGTAGGGGAGGTGGGTGTTAGTAGGCTCACGCTCCCCTTAAAGATATCCATTTCTACTCTGATCAAGGAGGGTGGTGGGAAGAGAAATTCCTCTCCATGTGCTTATCACCCTCATCCTGTTCAGAGAGAACTGCGGCTAGCTGCTTTAAATTTTGTCCCTACACATGTGCAAACTAGGGGGCTTGTTTCCATAGACAACCACTGTGGGTAGGAAGGTCAACCACTGCTCTCTCACCACCCTCTTGGCTACTGGCCTAGAGCCCTCCACCCTCAGTGGAGAGGGATCAGATCTCAGCACCGACTCCAAACGGAACCTGGCATGCTCAGCCGGGGTTCCTGGACTCCTTGTTTTGGACCATCCCCCATCCCCACTTCCTACTTGGCCTCCCAAGTCCTTTCTCACCCCTCCCTCCCCACAGCCTGGGACAGGCCCCATCCCATCCTGAAGCTTCGCAGATTTGCTCTTTCCCTTAGTACACACTCACCCCGCTCCCAAATTGGCTCCGCCACGGCGGCCGCAGCTCCAGGCCCCTCCGTCCCCGTCCCTCCCTTCGAATCCCCAGTCCTCCCCGACACGGGCCCCCAACCCAAACAAAGGGTGGCTCAGGCTGAGTCCTGCTCTGCTAGGCTCTTCTCTGTTCAGCTTCGTGTGCAACACTAGCGGGCCCTGGCGTCTGCAGCCCCCCAGCCACGGCTGCGCCCCTCCCCGCGACTGTTCCTCCCCGTGGCCGCCCCGGCTCCGCGCTGCCGACTCTGCTGCCCCTCTGACTCACAGGCCATTTCCTACCAGCTGATGGGGCTGCCCGCCCCGCCCAGCGTCCCAACCCCCCCACCCCGCGGCAGCCGCGACCGCCACGCCCCCCTCAGGCCACGCCCTCCACGGCAGCGACCGTGCTCATTGGTCCATAGGAGGCCAGCCTCCCACGACCTCAAGAGTGAGGCACGCCCCCCTCCAAGAGATGCACACCCATTGGGTCCATATGGGGGCAGGCCTAATCCAGAGTCGCCCCGCCCACCTCCTTAACTCCTCATCTGCCGAAGTTCAAAGCATCTCTCTGCCCAGCCTGTAACCCTTTCAAAGAAAGGCATAGGCCTCTTACTTCTCCTCCCCGCCCCCCTTCCTCTACGGAGGCTAGTAAATAAAAAAGACGTCCTAGAGCTTTCATAGGCACAGCTGGACAACCTCCAAAATCCACCTGCTCTTCCCACACCAGACCCCAAATAACCCCACTCCCATTCATCTTTCTATGTTTTGCAAACCAGAGCTCCAGAGACCAGAGAATTGTTGGAGCCTAGGAAGATTCCTTCGTGCCAGAGCAGAGGAAAAAAGCCCTGAAATGGGATACTATCTCTTTCCATTGAGACATGGTATTCTTTCTTTCTTTGTTTTTTTCTAATCCTCAGCCAAGGATAGATTTCCCATTGATTTTTAGAGGGAGAGAAATACCGATGTGAGAGAAACACATCGATTGGTTGCCTTCCGCATGCCCCTGGACCAGAGCCGGACTAGGGCCCAGGCCCCGGCTGGTGGAGAAGCCTGCAACTGAGGTACGTGCCCTTGACCGGAATGGAACCCGGGACCCTTTGGTCTGCAGGCCAAGGTTCTATCCACTGAGCCAACCCGGCTAGGGCTGAGAAATGGTATTCTTCCTTCTCTTACTCTATATTGATATTCTTTTGCCTTTATTAGAGGGACCCCATGAGCTCCCGAGATAGGGGTACATTTTAATTCAGAGACCTAAACATCATTCTTTGTGTCTCTGAACTCCCATTCTGAGATTAGTCTGCTTCATCCCTTCTGCCAGTAATTTCTATTCATAGGCCCCTGTTCAAGGAGGCAGAACACCCATGGGAAGTGGGATGGAAGGCTTCTGCCCAGAGTGGGGGAAATATGCCCAACTCTTGTGATGGAGCTCACCCCTATGACTCACAGCTCCCTCGAAACTCCCCACCCTCCCCCTGAGTCACTGGGCCCCAGGCCCAGCCAAATTAAGTCCCAGCAGAACCAGCATTCCTAATTCTTGTTTTCCTATTCTTTAAATGACCAGGATGGAAACCTCTGTAAGTTAAAAGAAACTTTTCAGAGGGGCTGCTCTAGGGGAAAGCTAAGAAAATAGATAGCACTGTCTATCTTTCTACCTGCACTTGTCAGCAAGTCCAATAGTTTGGAACTTAGGAGGCTTTTCTCGTAGTCTTCCACAGAAGCAGGAGGCAAACACCAGAACCAAAAGATGGAAGACTCAAACTGACAACAGCCAGGGCAGCTCCCTGGTTGGACCCCCAGAACATGGGGAGTCTGTACTTCTATAGTTCAGAGGCCACAGAAGGCCCAAGGTCCTTGTTTTATCATACCTCTGTTGTGGGCCTCAAGGTCCCTGAGGTTGTCACTGGACAGTAAAAAGAGGCCCCCCCCCCCCCACACACACACTTTTCTCCTTGTGCCCTAGACTTAGGAAGGGCAAGCAAGTAAGTTAGTTCCTCTACCTTCTCCTCACTTCAGACCAAGGGAAAACCCTGAAAAAGAACCCAGTTGCCATTC